CGTCAGACTCCACACTCGGCGGGGAGTCTGCTTGAGATTCTCTTCTCTCTCTCCTTCTGCCCCTCTCCCCACCTCTAAAGTAAATCTTTTTAAAACAATTTAAGATCATATTTATCTTTTCCTGCCATCTCAAATGTCACCTCCTCTGAAGAAGGGGACTTGATCCTCTCGGCTGGTGTGAAGGCATTTCCTTCTCAACTAATGATACTCTTTGATAGTGGCACTTAACTCAGGCCAGCTCTCTGTGGACCCATCTTACTCCACTGCACACTCCATGGGGGCAAGGTCTGCCACAAGCATTTTTTGTCCCCCACAAGCATTCAGCAGACAGTTGCTCTGCATAGTGCTACAGGTGAACAAGCAGGAGGTGCATGGGGCCTGCCATTTTGCCTTCTCGTTGGATAACCCAGACCTGTTGACGTCTCTAAGCAGGACTGGCTACATAATGTGGTGAGTGCAAAATGAAAATGCGGGGCTCCTTGTTCAAAAACTGCTCAGAATTTCAAGAGGGTGACAACAGAGCATTTAACCAAGTGCAGGGCCCTTCTAAGTGTGGAGCCACGTGAGACTACGCAGATGGCATGCCCATGACTCTGAGCCTATTTCTAGGATCAAAGGTGCTGGCACCAAATTGTCCCCTAGAAAGACAAATAATTCTGACTTCACCTTATTAACAGACTTCCTTTTTATCAGCTTAGGAACCTTGACTGGCTGGGGCTGGTGACTAGGGAGAAAAGGGGAGAGATGTAGAGGTTCTAGAAAGCCCCATTTCAGCAATTCTTATAGCTTTCGTGTAATCCAGGCTATAATCTATGGCAACCCGATGACGACAATGGAAAAACTGACCTTCTATCAGTCCGTTTGGAGGTTTCTAAATGACATTGGGAAAGGGCTGGCAAAGGGAGGGTTAATTTTTTTTAAGTTTTCTCTACGCCCAATGTGGGGCTCAAACTCACAACCCCAGGATCAAGAGTCACATGCTCCACCGACTGAGCCAGCCAGGTGCCCCAGGAGGGTTAATTTTTTACTAGTCTCCCTAGATGTAATCAGGGCTTCCTTCTTCTGCCATCCAGATGGGCCTTGACTTACGTACTAAGAACAACTCAACACTAGGAGTCCTTGAAAACCAGGCCGAGGTGGAGATGAAGGTGTTGTGTATATGTGTGCTTCACAGCTGGACACAAACGGCTTCTCCATTCACTACTTTGGATAGTTAAGTGAGGAGTACTATAGGCTTCAAATATCCTAGAATCCCCTGACATCCTTGAGGCCAGAAATTCATCCCATTAGGACTTCATAAAGCAAAGCTGAATCAACATTGTGAAGCGGGTTCTCGACTTCAGACCTCACCCTTCTTCCACCCCTGCCCCATACTCCTCCTCCAAAGCTCATTCCTGGGATCTAACTCAGAAAGAGCAAGTGAGGCAAAGTCTTGGATCACATTCCTGGAGAGGGTAGAAAATGAACTAGCAAAATGAAATGTTATGCCTGGAGCCTAGCTAGGGTTGATACTGGGCAGACACATGGCAGCCTCAGGGCCCCCAAAAGGGCCACCTCAGACACCAGGCTCCCAGCAAGGAGAGCAGGGCTTACCATTCATCCAAAGAAATTCTTCAAAGGCTCCTGATGCATTTTTGGTGAATTTGGAGCTTTCTTAATGAGGAGTGCTCAAGAGAACTCTCTCTCCCACTTCCCCCTTCCCATTCTCACTCTGGATCAGGCTCACCATCCCGGTATTGAGCATGGCAATTTATTTTAATGTACACTTCAGGGGAAGATGCATCATTTCTGCAGGTTGGTGGAAGAAACACCTGCAGGCTGGGTACTCTCGCCTCACTTCTTCATCAGCAGGATTGATGTGGATGTGGACTGGTAAGGGAGGTAGCAGGAAGGTGTTGGGCACTGAGGTGGCTCATGTGGGAGGAGGTCTGGTCGGTACCTGGTAAAGTTATACCTGCCCCAATTCCCTTACTCAGGGCTCAGAATCCTCCATCATGCCTTGCCCTTTCTCTGTCTTTTCTCTTTGGGGTTGAAAACCAACTGACACAGACCTGTTGGTAGACTGAGGGCTTTGGATTCCTGGAAACTTTGAGTCCTTCTCTGAAACGCTCCTCCCTTCACATTGCTTTCTCTGGGGGGAGTGTTCTGGATGATGGTGCCATCTGAGGGACCCATAGGAATGCCACTGGTGGGGCAACTGGGGTGTGTCCTGGGCAGCACCAATACGTCTCAGAAGTCATGGTCCTACAGCAATGTAAGTTAACTGGGAGGGCACAAAAGACAAGGCTGTTGGCCCAGTGGTGTTAATGGGAGGTAGTTATAAGACCAGGATATCTAGATGAGGAAATAAAACTTTCAGTTGACTCCACGGACATTGTAGACACTTTAAGAAACGATAAATCATTTCCTGGGAGTAAGAGGTGGAAAGGGGGAAAAATGGCAGAGATCCAGTCTGATTCTGAAAAGAAAAACAAAACATTTTTTTCTTAGATTTTCCTTTAAAATGTCCTCTAGAATACTCAAGTCAATTAACTCTCATCACTATCCTGTCTAGTAGGTCAGGAGGCACCCAAGTGATCCACATCCACTGTCACCAGAAACTCATTTTACCTTTGCACCATTCATCTTCCTGCATCCTTATGGCCCTGGACATTTGATATGGACCATTTAAGAGCAGGCAAGATGGCTGGTCAGAGACAAGAAGTGGTAGTGGTTAAGTGCACAGCTGTAGGAGCTCTGAGTGTCCACGTGCAAGTTACTTAACCTCTCTGGCCCTTGGCTTTCTCCTTTGAAAAAAGAGAATTACAATGGCACTCACCACACAGAGCTGCTTTGAGGATGAGAGAATGTATGCAAAGCTTTTAGTACACCAAAAGCAAGTGTGTCTTGCTTTAGTCCCTGCTGGGCTCATCACCATCAACACAGTATCATCATCATCCTCATGCTCATGACCATCATCACCACTGCAGTTACCGTGTACTCACTAGGGTGCCAGGCACCCCACTTTAGCAAGCCTTTAATCATCTTAAAATCTACAGAAAGGGCTATTTATCCCTTAAAACTCAACTGTTGACAGATCTGAAACCTGAGGCTCATTGACTGACCCACTGTGAAAGTGGATCCAGAGGAAGGATGATGAGATTGTAGTGATTTAAGTAGAAACATGGAGGAATTTGTCAGAGCTCCCTTCCTCACATGGGGCAAGATGGAAGAAACATTGTGCTATTTTGTCCAGAAGCCATCACTTATGTGAGGTTGGGCGAGTCGTTTACTGTCCCCAAACCTTAATTCTCTTCATCTGCAAATTGAGGATAAATAATGAGGTCTTCTTGCCAAACTCACAGCATTGACCTGAGGATTACATGAGACACGGCACCTCTACTTGATGTGTGGAAGGTATTACAACAACCAGGAGAGCCCCTGATCCATAATTTGGACCTCTGCTCTACTCTTTCCTTCTTTCATTCAACCATTATTTATGATGCAAAAGCCCTATTCTTAAGCCACATCATCCTCCATTTGTAAATCAATGCATCGATAGCAGGGCATTGCCCTGTATATAACTAGATTTTATGAGTTTGCCTTGTATGTGTCAGTCCTTTGCAGACTGGTTAATTGGGGATTTTTGGAAGCCATCACTTGACATAAGAGCAGAGAGCCAGCTCTGAGATCTGGTGACCCCACACAGCATGCTAAGAGGTCCTGCCTGGTCTTGACTACCTCTGCTACCTGCAGAAATGCCTTCACTGAAGAGCTATTTACTATGCCCTTAGCTCAAACTGAAGACTACTAAAAATGCCATTGGAAAGAAAGATAGTATGGTTTGGGAATCAGAACCATCTGACTCAAATCCTTGCTCTGCCACTTAAAAGCTATGGGACCTCCCAAAGGTTAGGGCTTATGCTTTTTGAGCCTCAATTTTTTTTCTTCTCTAAAGGGCACAATTGTGATTGGAATGAAATTAGATAAAAAAAAAAAAAAAAGAAGTATATGTAGAGTGTTCTGGCATCTCTATGGTAGGCTACCAGAAAAGGGGTAACTATTACCATCATTAATATTCATTAAAAAGTCAGTGCCTTCAGCCACTGTCCACTAGAGTAGTAAAAGTCTATAACAGAAGACTCTGTATGACAAACTGCTCTTAGAAATTAGAGCCAGGGAAACAAGTCTCTCCTAAAGAACTAGCTACCTATTTATCTTTACTTTTGAACTTACTTTTACTCACTGAGGAGAAAATATCAAAAACTTTTCTGCCAACAAAATCGCAGAGATTCTCAGGGAGTCTGAACCCAAGCTGGACTTCGCTAAAGAATGACACAAAGATGATTTAATGAGCACTGGGTGTTAACATGCACCGCAGGAGTAACTGAACTCTACATCTGAAACTAATAATATGCTATATGTTAACTAATTGAATTTAAATAAAATAAGTTAAAAAGAAAAAAATGACACAAAGAGGGGCGCCTGATGTCAGAGATTCAACTAAGCAAGAAGCTCTCCCTGTTTCTAGCTCACTATAACCCAAACCTGATGTTGAGTTACCAATCACGTAAGTACCGGTATGGGGACACCAGGGTGGCACAGTCGGTTAAGCCTCCGACTCTTGGTTTCAATTCTCTCTCTTTCTCACTAAAATAAATAAATAAATCTTTTTTTTTTTTAAGATTTTATTTATTTATTTGATAGAGAGAGACACAGCGAGACAGGGAACACAAGCAGGGGGTAGTGGGAGAGGGAGAAGCAGGCTTCCCCGGAGCAGGGAGCACGATGCGGGGCTCGATCCCAGGACCCTGGGACCATGACCTGAGCCGAAGGCAGACGCTTAACGACTGAGCCACCCAGGCGCCCCTGACTGAGGTCAGTCTCAATTGTTCACTTACCTGTATGTCTTTTATCAATCCAGCCATCCACCTACCTCCCCGACGTTCCAGAAATATATACACGCGGTGCCGGCCGGTGAAACAAGCACATGAAAGGAATATGGGGGGACCTACCTAGTCCCTCTCACATCCTTTTGGGCCAGAGATCAGGCCGCGGCTATACTATTCCCGACTCGGGTCTCTCGCAGCACTGCTGTGGCTCCTGCTGGGCCTCGGATCCAGTCGGGCTGGGGTGGCAACCACCAGCAGATCACTGGGAGACACGTCGCGGCTGGGAGGACCATGCAGGAGCAGGACGGAGGACAGACGCAGCTGCCTCTTCTCGCCGGAGCTTCGGCTGCTGCAGGAGCACTCCCAGGGCAGGCAGCGGGTTTCTGGAAAGGCGAAATCATTGGCCTCATCCCTTTGTGCTGCGGGGCGAGGAGCCCATTGCCAGCGGAGGCCACCTCCCGCCGGGGTCCGCTGGCTTCAGGCCAGCTCAAGTTCCTGACCCGGAACCCGCCTCTGGTCCTCTCCTGCAAGTGGCTTCTCTTCCCTGTTTTCATACTTCATGCCCCTCCCCTGATAGGCTCAGCTGAATGCGCCTCACCTGAACGGACAACCAGGAATCGTCGAACAGGGTGCTTGTCAAAAGCGTTCGGTTTTTACCTTTTTTTGTATTTTCAATAAGACCAGAGACTCCCTAAGGATGTGGACTATGTCTCCACCACCAGGCGGGGGTGGGGGTGGGGTGCTCCCTGAGGGCGGGGGCTGCATCCCCCACCGCCACCCCAGACTGGGCCCTCCTCCAAGACGAGGACTGCTTCTGTTAGCGACTCCGTCCCCTAAGCTCTTGGCACACGCCTGGACCCACTGGCACTCACGCGACTTGTGATTCGGCCCCAGCTTTGGGTTGTAGTAAGCTGGGAACAGGGCGAGCTTCTCCCTCAGTGGAACCTTGGTGAACAGCTCTGACATCAGAGGCTGCTTCGTCGTCTCATTCTGCGGCGCAGTCCAGCTTGGCTTCAGACTTCCTAAGAAGCTCTGGGATTTTGTTGGAAGAGAAATTTTTGATACTTTCCCCTGGATGAGGTCCTGGGGGAGGGGGTGCTGCTTGTATTTGAAGACCACCGTATCCACCTCGGGGCTACTGCTTCCAGAGCTGGTTATCCCGGTCCCGCTCGGCAGAGACTCTGGGGAGTCTGAGACCTGAGTGGCAGGATCTGGGCAGGTTTCTAGTGAGGTTAAGGGCTGGAGGAGAAAACAGTCCATAATGAGATTGTGGAAGCCTAGGGCTCCTTCCCGTGCCTTCTTGATTTAAACAAACAAAGTAAGCCAAGCTCATCAGCAGCAAGAAAGATTAGAATAGTTTCCTAACCAGGAATTGGCTCAACACTAGGGCAGAGGATGGTGGGTATGTCCACAGAGCTTCCGCTGGGTTTTTGTTTTTGTTTTTTGTTTTTTGTTTTTAACTAAAGAGAGATTTTAAACACTAGAAATTGGCCATCAGAAAAATAGGCATTATTTCCCAGCTATTAGACTGGCAAAAATTAGAAAGCTGCTGGTGGGATGGGGCACTATAGGGACCCTCATGCACGGCGGATGAGAATGTAGACTGGTACAGACATTCTGGTGAACCATCTGGAAACACTCAATTAAATAATATTACAAATACTCTGTGTCCCAGCAGTTCTGCTTCTAGGTATACATACTAAATGAGTTATTAGATAACTCCTTTTTAAAAAGTAGGTACACCAATGTTCCCAGCAACATTATTCACAATAGCCAAAAGGTGGATATAACCCACATGTCCACCAACAGATGAATGGATGGAATACTAGTCAGCCTTAAAAAGGAAGGAAATTCTGATATATACTACAACATGAGTGAACTTTGACGAGATCGGGCGCATTCAGGGTGGTATGGCCTCAGACAACATGAGTGAACTTTGAAACTTTATGCTAAGTGAAATAAGCCAGACACAACAGTACAAATGTTGTATGATTCTACTTATCTGAGGTACCTAGAGTAGTCATAGAGACAGTAAAACAGAGAGGAATGAATAAGGCAGAAAAAATATTTGAAGAAATATTTAAGAAATAATAGCCATAAACTTCTCAAATTTGGTGAAAGACATCAATTTATAAAACCAACAAGCTCAAGAATCCTAAATAGAATAAGTACAAATAAAATCACACCCAGATGGGGTACCTGGCTGGCTCAGTTGGAAGAGCGTGCGACTCCTGATCTCTGGGTTGTGAGTTTGAGCCCCACATTGGGTATGGAGATTACTTTAAAAAAAATAAAATCTTAAAAAGGAAATGACACCCAGACACATCATAGTCAAATTGCTGAAGTCCAGAGATAAAGAGAAGAGCTAGAGAAAAATGACACATTACATATAGGGGACAATGTTATGAATACAGCTGACGTCTCACTAAAAAAGAAAAAGAACACCAGAAGATAATGGAACATTTTTTAAGTGCTGCAAGAAAAAAAAAAAAAATGTCAACCCAGAATTCTAGGTCCAACAAAAATAGCCTTCAAAATGAAAGCTAAATAAAGACATTTTCAGATAAACAAAAACAGAAAATTCATCACCAGCAGAGAGATGTGCACTACAGTAAATGCTAAAGAGAGTTTTTCAGGCTAAAGAGAAATGACATCAGATGATATATATACATACAAATACATATGTTACATATATACATATATATTTTTTAAATATCTTTCCTCTTGGGGCGCCTGGGTGGCGCAGTCAGTTAAGCATCTGACTCTTGGTTTCAGCTCAGGTCATGATCTCGTTGTTGTGGGATTGAGTCCTGCATTGGGCTCCGTGCTCAGGGGGAAGTCTGCTGGAGATTCTCTCTCCCTCTCTCTCTGTCCCTCCCCTCCCCCACTCATGCCTCTCTCTCTCTTTCTCTATTTTTCGCTCTCTGAAATAAATAGATCTTTAAAAAAATATTTTAAAAAAGAAAAATAGGCAAGTTTCCAGAGTATATGAAGAATTCCTACAACTCAATAATAAAAAGATAAATAATCCTAATTTTTAAAAGAGAGGGAAGCAAAAACTTGACATACTCTTCACAAAGAAAGACATATGAATGGGGGAGGCTGGGTGGCACAGCTGGTTATGTGTCTGACTCTTGGTTTCAGCTCAGGTCATGATCTCAGGGACGTGAGATTGAGCCCTGTGTCCAATTTTGCTCTCAGCTAGGAGTCTGCTTGAGATTCTCTCTCCCTCTGCCCCTCCTTCTCATGCTCTCTCTCTCAAATAAATAAATAAAATCTTTAAAAATAAAAGGGTGGGGTGGCGCCTGGGTGGCTCAGTCATTAAGCGTCTGCCTTCGGCTCAGGTCATGATCCCAGGGTCCTGGGATCGAGCCCCGCATCGGGCTCCCTGCTCCGCAGGAAGCCTGCTTCTCCCTCTCCCTCTCCCCCTGCTTGTGTTCCCTCTCTCACTGTGTCTCTCTCTGTCAAATAAATTAAAAAAATCTTAAAAAAATAAAAGAAAATAAATAAAAGAAAAAAAAAGAAAAACAGGCTCAACAAGAAAAAGAATAGGTCATAGAATGAGATAAATGACCCAATCATATTTAAATAAAGTTTAAATGCATATATTAAAAAAAAAAATCCCTACTTTGCCAAGAAACATACTAACAAAAGATGGTGGATAGGAGAATGGGAGGTGAGTGTAGAGATAAAAGGGAAAAATAAATAAATGAAAGATGCAAAGGCTTTGAATGAACCAGGGCTTTTTATTAAATTAACCCTCTGCACATGAAATCCAGAAAAGAAAAAAAACAATAAAATGTTACTGCCTTATTTTTAAAAATCTCTTTGGAGTTAAGTAGTACTACTTTACATCTTAGATTAATGAGAGAAGAACAAAGGCAGTCTTAAAAAGTCGTAGTAATATTAAAATAGCAGCTAATGCTTCCTGAATCCTATGTGGCAGGCGTCACTCTCCACATTTTCATGTATTCTTCCATTTAAGCCTCAAAGCAATCCACTGGTAAGTACTATTATTAAAATTCCATTTTTAAAGATTTTATTTATTTATTTGAGAGAAAGAGAGAAAGAGTGCAAGAGCAGGAGGAGGGGCAGAGGGAGAGGGAGAAGTGGACTCCAGCTGAGTGCAAAGCCTGACAACAGGGGATTGGATCCCAGGATCCTGGGATCAAGACCTACGCTGAAGTCAGATGCTTAACCAACTGAGCCACCCAGGTGTCAAAATTCCATTTTTTTTTAGATGAGGAAACTGAGGCTTAGGGAGAGAAGAGTGACTAGATGCAAGTCATTAGAGGAGACTCCAGGATCCAAACAGAGGCAGCCAAATCCCAATGCATACTCTTTACTCTTTTTTTTATTCCAAGAAAAAAGGAACCCCACATACACACACACATAAAATTTGCTACCTTAACCGTTTTTAAGTATACAGTAAGTAGTGTTAACAATACACCCATGTTGTGCCACAGACCTCCAAGAAGACTCCCCGCTTAGTAGGGAGCCTGACATGGAGCTCAACCCCACACCCATGAGATCATGACCTGAGCTGAAACCAAGAGTTGGACGCTTAACTGACTGAGCCACCCAGGTGCCCCTCATTTTTTTTAAAGATTTATTTATTTATTTATTTATTTATTTATTTATTTATTTATTTGAGAAAGAGCAGCGGGACGGGCAGAGGGAGAGGGGGAAAGAATCTCAGACTCCACACTGAGCGCAGAGCCCAATGGGGGGCTTGACCCCACGACCTCAAGATCACAGCCTGAGCCAAAACCAAGAGTCAGGCACTCAACCAACTGGGCCACCCATAAATCCTTTGCCCATTTTAAAATCAGTTTATCTTTGGTGTGAGTTGTAAGAGTCCTTTATATATTCTGGATATGAACCCCTTATCAGATACATAGTTTGAAAATATTTTCTCCCATTTCACAGGTTGCCTTTTCACTCTGTTGATTGTTCAAGTTTGATATAGTCTCACTTACCTATTTTTGCTTTTTTTTTTAAAAGATTTTATTTATTTATTTGAGAGAGAGCACAAGAGGGGGGAGGGTCAGAGGGAGAAGCAGACTCCCTGCCGAGCAGGGAGCCCGATGCGGGACTCGATCCCGGGACTCCAGGATCATGACCTGAACCGAAGGCAGTCGCCTAACCAACTGAGCCACCCAGGCGCCCTTGCTTTTTTTTTTTTAAGTTTATTTGTTTGTTTGTTTAAGTAATCTCTACATGCAACATGGGGCTTGAACTCACCACCCTGAGATAAAGAGCCACACACTCTCCGACTGAGCCAGCCAGGCGGCCCTGCTTTTGGTGTCGTATCTGTGAAATCCAATGTCATGAAGTTCCAAAGCCTATTCTTTTTTTTTTTAGATTTTATTTATTTACTTGACAGAGAGAGATAGCGAGAGCAGGAACACAAGCAGGGGGAGTGGGAGAGGGAGAAGCAGGCTTCCCGCTGAGCAGGGAGCCCGATGTGGGGCTCGATCCTAGGACCCCGGGATCATGACCTGAGCTGAAGGCAGACGCCTAACGACTGCGCCACCCAGGCGCCCCTCCAAAGCCTACTCTTTTAAAGGTGTTTATCGAACTGTGGCTGTAAACCTATTAATAAGTCATGAAATTAATTTAGTGGATTGTAACTGGTATTTTTATTTATTTTTTTTAAGATTTTATTTATTCATTTGAGAGAGAAAGAGAGACAGAGAGAACACTAGCAGGGGGAGAGGCAGAAGCAGACTCCCTGCTGAGCCCCGACATGGGGCTCGATCCCAGTACCCTGGGATCATGACCTGAGCTGAAGGCAGATGCTTAGCCAACTGAGCCACCCAGGTGCTCCAGGAACTGGTATTTTTGAAAGAAGAGAACAGAAGAGAATAAAAAATATCAAAGGAGTTACCATATGTAGTAAGTATGGCTCATCATTGTTTTAGAAACTCTTTTCCAGTGTGTGTATGGATGGATAAAATAAAATGGATTTCTACTGTGGGCTATGGTTAGGAACTCGAAAAGCATCACATTCTTCCATACTGCACTTGGACCTGGCAAAGGCCCAACAATGCCGAAGGTTTTCCAGTACTTACAATACAGTCATCACATAGCCTTTGGTGGGCCTGACTACAGTAAACACAAAAAAACCCGTTCTAGAACTGTCAGTACCGGGGCGCCTGGGTGGCTCAGATGGTTAAGCGTTTGCCTTCGGCTCAGTGCATGATCCCAGGGTCCTGGGATCGAGCCACACATCCGGCTCCTGCTCAGCGGAAGGCCTGCTTCTCCCTCTCCTTCTACTGCTCCCCCTGCTTGTGCTCTCTCGCTCTCTCTGTCAAATAAATAAACAAAATCTTTAAAGAAAAAAAAAACCTTTAAAAAAATTAAAAAAGAACTGTCAGTACCACATTCATGTGGCATCTTAGTGTCTGCAAAAATAAAAAATCAGCTGTCACATTCAATTAATATTTTTGATGTGAATTTCATTGGTGATGTTTGTTTTGATTTCATAGTTGTATAAGAGTTATAAACAAAGATTTTATATATCTGGTTTTATGTTTGTATATATCTATGAAAGTTATTTACGGCTACAATGGGGATCTGAGAGAGTTTTCTTTCCTTCAACAGGTGTCCATACACAAATGGAGTTTGAGAAACACTGTTTAAGGGATGAACTGGGTTCAACACTGCCACAAAGCTCAGAATGTGACCTTATTTGGAAATAGGGTCTTTGCAGATATCATGAATCAAGTTAAAGTGAGGTCGTACTGGATCTGTGTAAGCCCTAAGTCCAATGACTGGTGTTCTTATATGAAGGCCACGTGAAGATCTACAGAGGAGAAATTCAAAGAGGGAGTCCTTGTGACAACAGAGGCAGAGGTTGGAGTCCCACTGCTACAAGCCAAGGAGCTCCAAGGATTGTTGGCAACCACCAGAATCTAGCAAGAAGCAAGGAAGGATCCTCCCTCTAGAGCCTTCAGATGGAGCACGGCCCTGCCAACACCTTGTTTTCAGACTTCTAGCCTCCAGAACTGTGAAAGAATCAATTTGGGTTTTAAGCCCCCAAGTCCATGGTGATTTGCTCCAGCAGCCACAGGAAGCTAACGCAGCAGGTGGGAACATGCTTAAAGATGGGGTGCGGAAGACGGCCATTGGAAAAGCCCTTAAAGTATAGGTCCATTCTCCTAGCACGCCTGCTCTTGCACAACTTGGGCTTCACAGGTGGGGATATCGAGGCTTAAGCGGCTTACTCAAAAGGAGATAGCAAGTCAGGAGGATAGAAGGGACCAGAAAGCAAGATTCCTACCACTGCCCCCTGAGCTGAGCCCTCTGGGGAAGTAGACCGCTCTACTCACCCCAGGGCTGGTGAATACGTTCACTGCAGAGGCAGACTTGACCTCCTTGATTCTGGAGATGGGTTGACTGAGCTCCAGCCCCGGGCAGCTGAGAAGGCTTGAGTGCCTCAGGTCGGGTACAGAGGTGTATCGCCTTGCAGCTTGAGGCTTGCAGGGAGGAGGGCTGGCCCCTTTCATGGGCGTCTCCTGGTCGAGGCTGCTGTCTGTCTCTTTTGTCTTTGCGTCTCTGACACTCAAGAGCAAGTCAGATGTGGAGGATACCAATGCCATTGGCTGGAGATGCTGGGAAGGAGGAAACCAAACACAGCCTGTGGGAACCCAGCTCTGTCCACTTCCAGATTCATCTGCACCAAGGGGAGGTGCCGAGGAGAGGAGGAGGAGAAGGAAAGCAATCGGTATCAAAGTCTCTCTAATCTGAGGTTCTTATCCTGGGGTGCAGGGACTCCTAGAGGGTTCATGGACGGTTTCCCGGGATCTTTGGGCCACTTAAAACTGCAGTTTTAAAACACTATCTTTGTATACTTTATGGCAAGAGAGTATCATAGTTTTTATCAGTTTCTCAAAAGGCCTATGACCCTAGCAAAGTTATAAAATACAAAAAAACCCAAAAATATCCTGCTCTCATCCTGTTCCTTCAGGTGAGGGTTCAAGAAAAAGGAAATGGACCGGGCGCCTGGGTGGCTCAGTTGGTTAAGCGACTGCCTTCGGCTCAGGTCATGATCCTGGAGTCCCGGGATCGAGTCCCGCATCGGGCTCCCTGCTCGGCAGGGAGTCTGCTTCTCCCTCTGACCCTCCTCCCTCTCATGCTCTCTGTCTCTCATTCTCTCTCTCAAATAAATAAATAAAATCTTAAAAAAGAAAAGAAAAGAAAAAGGAGATGGACCAAAAACCCAACTGAGTCTTTCCACTGAGCCAGAAGAGACAGTGAAGCAGAGAGGGGCAATCCAAAGATTCGGACTGTAGGACAACGGGACTGCTGGCCCCCCGGCCAGGGCTGGTCCACACTTTGAGCACAGAGCGGGTTGGAAGGACCCAGCTGCGGTCCATCACCCCACATAATGGTGAGGGTCCTGCCTCCCTGAAGCCCTCCTCTGCAGCCCCCTCTCTCAGCTGTGCCCCTGGCCTGCTAGAGGGGAACATTCCAACCCAAACTGGGGTTGGGACCCATGAGTATAAGTAGTCCTGGCGCCTGCTCCCTATGTGGGGATCGTGCTCAGCCTCCCAGCTGCTTTTCCTCCCACCGGACAAGGTAAGAAGGGCAGACCAGTGAGAGTCTTCTGAAGGATGCCAGGCTCCTCGCGACTTCCAGGCTCACCTTCCTGTGGCCCAGCCCTTCGTCAGCCCCATTCATTCAGTGCATCAGGGCTCTGAGTAATGGTCTCCTGAGCACCCCCCATGGGGCGGCCCCAGCTGGGGAAGGGTGCTGGGCACACACGCTCCCCTCCCAGCCGGGTTTACTTGTTTGAAGGTGAGGGTGGCGGCTTGATGTTTCTGCTGTGGTTTCTGTCGGCAGCTCTTCATGCTCTTGCCCCTCGCTTGCTCGCCCGCCGACTCCCCCTGCATCTCCACCTTCTTCTCCTTTGTTTGGAAGGATTTTTTCTCCTGTTTCAGCCTTAGGTCCTGGATCAGCTGCCTGTCCAGGAGGAACAGGGAGGGTCGTGGAGGTTAGGGATGGGCTACAAATGGGTATGCTCTCCCTGAGGGGGGGATGATGCTTGCCAAAGAGTGCAGTGTCATTCCCCCCGCGTGTCCAGCCTGCACAAATGATTGCAGGGCCCAGAGCAGAAGGTGGAGGGGACAGCCATGCTTCCCACCACACCATTCCCAGTCTGGGGAATAGCATCCAAGGAGTGATGCAAAGTCAGCCGCTCTACCCGAGGCCAAATCCCACACATAGCAGGTGCTGGGAAGAGGGTCTGGGTAGGTGGCCAAACAAGGGGCCCCCACATTGGACCACTTTATATCCCGGGCCTCTCTGGCCAATGATGTAGTGGGAATAACGCAGTCACATGGGTCAGGAGACAGGGATCCCAATTCCTCTTTTGTTATCGCCTACTATACGACTCCTTCTGTGCTCTGACTTCTCCGTCCATAAAATGAGGTGATGGGGGCACCTGGGTGGCTCACTCGTTAAGCATCTGCCTTCAGCTCAGGTCATGATCCCAGGGTCCTGGAATCGGGCCCTTCATCAGGGTCCCTGTTTGGCGGGAAGCCTGCTTCTCCCACTCCCACTCCCCCTGCTTGTGTACCCTCTCTCGCTGTGTCTCTCTCTCTTAATTTAATTAAATAAATTAAATCATTAAAAAAAATGAGGTGATAGGTAGGGATTGGACTGGACAGGATGAGTCCCTTCCAGTTCTTAGATTTCATGCCTGTGTGAATCCAAGAGGTAGCTCCCTGGGAATTCTGGGGAAGGGTGAAGGTGCCTGTCTCAGGAGCGAGTTTCTAGGAACAGCTACATATCTACTGAACACCCCACGCCAAGGAATCTTATGATTCCTGGTCCTTGTGAGACTAAAGCAAATGTTCCCCCTGGCAACTTCTGGGCTGGGGATTAAAGCTCAAAGACCCTCCTCACCATCCCAGGCTGGTCACCCAGAAGGTCAATCACGACCCAACGCGTCCCAGCACCCACCCACTTCGCCCAGAGCCTTCCTACCGGGCATATACCTCCCGAGCCCTGGAGGTAACAGTATTCTGAAAGAGGGAGTTGTTGTCCTGGAAAAACTTGTCATACTTCTCCGAATTCAGAGTAGGATAAATCAGGCGGAACCCCCCACGGTTCTCCTTCTCGTACTTCTCAGTTTTCTCCAACTGCACGGCCTGGAAACCCTTGACCTCCTCCATCCTGGGGGGGAACAGAACACAGGGCTGCCGTGGATTTTCTTGGGACAGAGCCTGGAAGGGATGTGCCAAGCTGGATGTCCCATGGGGCCAGGCCGAGGCCTTGCGTACAACAGTGGCCTGCCCGTATTTGCTGAAAGGAGATTCTAGCCCTCTTGGGACGGCCAATGTCATGATGCACGGAAAGCTGGTCAGAATGGTCTTTCTGACAGCTCACCAGACTCTCTCCTCATACAAAAACCCCCTTCCCCTTGGCTCAGTTCTGAGGAGGCAGACTGTCGCCACCTCCCCATTCACAGCCCCTATAACCCTCCTCTGGAGAACGGCAGCTTGTGTTTGGCTAAATTTGAGGGCTTCACGGATGTGCTTTTATGAGCTGCGATGATCTCATTCTCCCTCACAGCCCCTTGGGGAGGTGGAGGTCAGGGAGGGAGGAACGAGAAGCCCCTTTTACAGCAGGCAAACCGAGGGCACTGAGCCACCCAGGGCCAAGTCATGACCAAGAGGATGATTCAGGGGAGGGCCCCAGCTCTGCCCTAGCAGATGCTGCCTCCTCCTTGAGAAGTGGGGAGAACACTGGCACAGGGGAAGCTATTCTGGAATCCCAAGTAGCACACTCGCTGCACTCCAGCCCCAGGCCTGCCACTTCCCAGCGAGGGGACCTTGCACACAAGTCAGTTCCCCTCCCAGAAGCCTGGTCTCCTTAGCTCCAGCCACAGGACCATCCAATACCCCCTGCTACCAACCGTCCTCAGAGGGAAGCCAGTTCACAGGCAAAAGTGCTCTGAGAAAGCCAGTGCCCTCCGAACACAGATGCCATTGCCCCAGTTCCCAAAGCTCCGTCCCCAAGACTCAGCAGGCTCTGCTCATGGGGGTGCGGCGGTTGCCGCGGGGTCTGAAAAGCAACACAATCGTCTCCTCCGCTGGGTTCCGAGTCTTCAGACACTAAAATCACTCCGCAGAACCAAGGCGCCTGTTTACAGGCAAATGCTGCCGTGCGGGGAGCAGGGGACGCTCGCCCCCACCAATCCAGTGATACGGGGTGGGTCAGACTAATGTGTCTTTCTGTAAAAATCAAGCAACGGGTTTGTTTTTTGAAATATTTTATTTATTTATATGACAGAGAGAGATGCAGTGAGAGATCATGAGCGGGGGGGGGGGGGGGGTAGAGGGAGAAGCAGGCTTCCCGCTGAGCAAGGAGCCCGATGCGGGGCTCAATCCCAGGACCCCGAGATCATGATCTGAGCCGAAGGCAGATGCTTAACTGACTGAGCCACCCAGGCGCCCCATAAAGCAACGGTTTTATTTTTGGATTGGTAATCCCTAAATCTTCATGTTATATTAGTAAACTCATATCCATGATATATAGTCTGTCCATAACTTAATCTCCTATTTTTATGTGCCAAAAAAAAAAAAAAAAAAGGCTCACAGTAAAACTGTACAAGCTGCCACATTCTGCAAATAGAAACTAATATTCCAAATAGGATTATCGTTTGTTAGAACTGGCTCCACTCCCCACCAGCTCCAAGCAAGATTCTTTTTTTTTAAATGTAATGACTTTTTTAAGTTGAAGTATAATTGACATAGAACATTCTGTTAGTGTCCCAGGTGTGCAAACACAATTCGCTATTTGTGTGTATTCTGAAATGATCACCACAATAAGTCTACTGAACATCTGTCCCATACACAGTCAACAAAAATTTTTGCGGGGGCGCCTGGGTGGCTCAGTCCGTTAGGCATCTGCCTCCGGCTCAGGTCAGGATTCCAGGGTCCTGAGATCGAGCCCCGCGGCAGGCTGCCTGCTCACCATGCGGCTTGCATCTCCATCTGCCCCTCCCCCTGCTCGTGCGCTCGCTCGCTCACTCTCTCTCTCTCTGACAAATAAAATCTTTTAAAAAAATGTTTTTTCTTGGGGCACCTGGGTGGCTCAGTCGTTAAGCGTCTGCCTTCGGCTCAGGTCATGATCCCAGGGTCCTGGGACCGAGCCCCGCATCGGGCTCTCTGCTCTGCCGGGAGCCTGCTTCTCCCTCTCCCACTCCCCCTGCTTGTGTTCCCTCTCTCACTGTGTCTCTCTCTGTCAAATAAATAAATAAAATCTTTAAAAAAAAAAAGTTTTTTCTTTTGATGAGAACTCTTAAGATCTTAGCAACTTTCAAATATGCAATACAGCCTTACTAACTATAGTCCCCATGCCCTACATTACCTCCCCATGACTTATTTATTTTATAACTGGAAGTTTGTACCTCTTAACCCCCTTCACTCATTTTGCCCGCCCCCGCCAGGCAAGACTCTTCACCACCTCTAACACACACTATGTGTGTTAGAGGCACTCTGATGAACCTATTATTACACCTTATCTCATTTAATTCTACCTTATAGATCACTGGCTCCATTTCACAGAAAGAACACTGAGGCTCAGAGAAGAGACGTAAAGGCCACATAACTAGTACGTTGTCGAGGACCAGGACAGGCCAGTCTTACTGGGAGCGGGGAAGTCACAGAGAATGGGGTCCCCAGGGTGCGGGGGCACCTCTGTACCTGGTCTCCCGAGAACGACATTGCTGCCGGAATCGCCCCCGTTGTCTCTCCTCCTCCAAGACTTTCTTTTTGTCACAGTTTCCCAGGTTGATCAGGACCAAGGTGTCATAGAGCAGACTGTCTTTCACCTCTTTATCCAGCCAGGAGTCGGTGGAGAAGCTTGGAGAGTGGTTAACCTGTAAGGGCAGCAGGGGGCTGGGCTGTCCAGTGTGGAAGCAGAGAGCAAGGCCCAAACGCCACCTCCAGGGAGCTACCTAAGCCCAGCATGGGGCCCTGGCTACCAGATGGAGCGGAGGGGAGGGAGTCTGTACCGGAGCCATGGTGAGGAGAGGAGAAAGCAGAACCTCCTCTAGTTTAACCAGCTTCGATTTCAGTCCTTTCCTCTTGAGAAGCATCAGCGGCGCCCTGTCTTTGCTTTCCCTCCCCCTGGTGGGTGTGCTCTCTCGCTTACATAGCATGCCCTAAAGCAGAGGGAAGGGCGCAGTCCAAAGGACCAGGCTGGGAGGTGGGGAAAAAGCCAGAGTGATGCATTCTGGACCCTCACCAGGATCGAGGGGGAGGCAGGTGGGAGGAGGGAGAGGCCTCATTCCTGCTCACAGAAAAGACCAGATCATTTAGACGCAGTCTGTAACATTTGAAGACTTCTAGCAGTTTCTGAAGGCCTGTGCCTGGTGCCAATTTCGCTCTTTGTGTAAGAGCTCCAAACAGCCATCTTCTCCTTCCCACCTATACCTGGGAACAAGGGCTGGGAATGGAGGAAAGGCAAGGCCCCAGGAAGGGGACCCATGATTCCGGCTTTGCCCTCTGAAGACTCTGACTCTGTGCCAACCGGCCCTAGCACCTCTGACTTGGCACCTGGCTCCTCCAATCCCCACTTCCTATAATGAGGACTGAAGGGTCCCTTGAGGGCTGCTGAGTGCAGGTCTAATGGGGAAAAGAGACAGCCACCCACATGCTTTTTTTTTCCTCCTCCATCCACCCTGCTGCAGGTCTGGGGAAGGTAGGAAATTCACTGAGTGGCTCCTCACCCATTCCCTTGGCCACAGACACCAGGCCACTCTCTGTTGGTGCTTGGACTTGAGTGGCCCAAGCCCCTGAGAGCCAGGCCTGGTTCTGATCTGGAACATCATCATCCAGCTTTGATGAAGAACACCCCTTTCTGGGAGACAATTCTGTGACAAAAAATCAAGTTGTCTTTAGAGTCTTTCTGTGCCTGCGATCAAAGTTTCCAGGCCTGGGTGGACCTCAAGAAGGCACAAGGAACTCTCTAATTCCTGGCCATCTACCCCCCTCTGGTGGCCACTTCTCAGCTAAGGGAGGAGCCCTGGGCAGCCAGCACTGCCGCGGGATGAACAGGCCTGGCCAGGAAGTTGATTAAAATGATCTGGCTGAGCCAGGGATGAAGGGATGAGCCTTGACACTGGCTGACCCCAGGAACAGCAGTCAGTTCTCACCCCTCGCCCCAGCCCCTCTACCTCCAGCAGCCAGGGCTTGAGTTTGTGGTCCAACAAAATATCAAAGCCCAGGATTTCAAAGCAAGCACTGTTGAGTGTGTGGTTGGGGAAGCAGGTGTGGTAGTTATGCTTGATGACGGGGTGGGCGGAGATGATCGTCTTGATGATGACATCCTCGATATCTCTCCAGATCTGCTCCATGTTGTAGCCATGGTTTTCCATGTACATGTTGAAGGTGGAGAGCTTCCTGGAAGGAAACCACAGGCCGTGAGGCAAGGGAGCCCACCTCTGGTCATCTAAGGCCATCTCCGGCGGGAAACCAGAAACTTCTGCAGACGTTAAGTCCCCAGAGGTAATGGGGACAGACACCCAGGACCCAGGGTGACAACAGGGCTGTGTCAGCTCAGGAGGGGCCTGCAGGAGCCGCAGGACCACAGTACTTAAGCCTCCAACAGCCTGGAAGTGGGTGCAGATAATGACACATAAGACCTGGCTTGGGCACTAACACTGTGACCCAGAAAACACATGTGAGGCTGGGGCAGGGACTGGGTATTCTAGGGGGAAAGCTCAATGGGTGAATAAAAAATATTAAAAAAAAACAAACACCCTACATGATGGTTTTGCTTTGATGGCAAATAGTTTCTCAACCTTTGGTGTTCATTAGAAACACATAGGGAGCCTTTTAAGAACACCAATACCTGGGTCCCACCCCAGCCATCTGACAGGATTCTGGGGATGCTAAAGACACAGAAACTTTGCTTGAGGACTATCCACAAAGAAAAGGCAGCCCCGGGGCATTTCCACAGATAGGGTTACCAACTGTCCCAGGCAAACCAGGACAGTCCCGATTTTAGATAAAGAAGATGTGGTAGATATATACAATGGAATATTACTCAGCCATCAAAAAAATGAAATCTTGCCATTTGCAACGATGTGGTTAGAACTAGAGGGTATCATGCTAAGCGAAATAAGTCAGTCAGAGAAAGACAAATACCATATAATATCATTCATACGTGGAATTTAAGAAACAAAACAGATGAACATAGGGGAAGGGAGGAAAAATAAAATAAGATGAAAACAGAGAGGGAGACAAACCATAAGGGAGTTTTAACTCTAGGAAAGAAACTGAAGATTGCTGGGAAGGGGGATGGCATAACTGGGTGATGATGGTGAGGGCATGTTATGTAATGAGCACTGGGTGTTATATGCAACTGATGAATCACTGACCTCTACCTCTGAAACTAATGATACACTATACGTTAATTACTTGAATTTAAATCAAATAAAATTTTAAAAAATAATAAATTTTTTTAAAAAAGAACTGAAAGTCTCACATCCTGGGAAACCCCTCAGTCACAGGCAAACTGAGATGACCTGTCACCCTATTACAGAGATCAGAGGATGTCTATGGTTCATGAGGAAACATCTAAAGGGGTGCTCTGCCAAGATGTCCAGCGACAGATGAATGGATAAAGAAGAAGTGGTGTGTGTGTGTGTATATATATATATATGTGTATATATATATATATATATATATATATATATATATATATATATATATAGGAATATTATGCAGCCATAAAAAGGAATGAAATCTTGCCATTTGCAACTACGTGGATGGAACTGGAGGGTATTATGCTGAGCGAAATAAGTCAATCAGAGAAAGACATGTATCCTATGACCTCACTGATATGAGGAATTCTTAATCCCAGGAAACAAACTGAGGGTTGCTGGAGTGGTGGGGGGTGGGAGGGATGGGGTGGCTGGGGGATAGACACTGGGGAGGGTATGTGCTATGGTGAGCGCTGTGAATTGTGTAAGACTGTTGAATCACAGACCTGTACCTCTGAAACAAATAATACATTATATGTTAAAAAGAAAAAAGAAGGGCGCCTGGGTGGCTCAGTTGGTTAAGCGACTACCTTCGGCTCAGGTCATGATCCTGGAGTTCCTGGATCGAGTCCCGCATCGGGCTCCCTGCTCAGCAGGGAGCCTGCTTCTGCCTCTGACCCTCCCCCCTCTCATGTGCTCTCTCTCTCTCATTCTCTCTGTCTCAAATAAATAAATAAAATCTTTAAAAAAAAGAAAGAAAAAAGAAGAAGATAGCAGGAGGCAAGAATGAAGGGGGGGAAATCGGAGGGGGAGACGAACCATGAGAGACTATGGACTCTGAGAAATAAACTGGGGGTTCTAGAGGGGAGGGGGTGGGGGGATGGGTTGGCCTGGTGATAGGTATTAAAGAGGGCACGTTCTGCATGGAGCACTGGGTGTTATACGCAAACAATGAATCACGGAACACTACATCAAAAACTAATGATGTAATATATGGTGAGTAACATAACATAATAATAAAAAATAAATAAAGGGGTGCTCTGGTCAGCTCTGAGCTGGGTCATACAGAGAGGAGGCAAATCTGACGGGTCTGAGAGACAACGGTGGGGACATATCCACACCCACTCATAGGCACAGAGCTGAAATGGGAAGTGGGAATGTGAAAGGAAAAGACGCAGGGGCGTGAAGAGGAAAATAAGACAAGAGACATGGCTCACAAGACAGTTCGAAGAGCTCACTGGGCCCCAGCCAGTGGAGCCAAAAAGGAGGAAGCAGGGGCGGTCAGCCAATGCAAACTTGCTAAGAGCCTGCTGTACACGCAAAGCTCGGGAAATGAGAGAACCCTAAGAAACTGCTCCCCACTGTCATGGTAAGCCTAAGGACCATTTGGGGGGTCAACACACATGAAACAACCAAGGATGCATTTATATAAAGACAGATTAGCAAAGGCCACTCAATACAGAGGCCCACTTTTGCCTCTACCTGCCATTGTTGGGGAATAGAGTGTAGCACCTAAATGAATTTTCCAGATCGCTTGAAGCCAAACCATTCAAGTGCAAAAAAATGTATTTAATTTGCTTAATTGGGAAATAAATTTTCCCAAAATAGATTATACACTTCCCTCCCTTCTTATAACAGACACTGCAAATCATAACATAACCTCTTCTTGATGACTCGGGCACATCAAAATGAATATACATTATTCTATAATTTCATAATGCCCAGTGGTTAGCCAATTCAATTTAACACATCAGCTATGTGCCAGGCACCCTGAAAGATGCAGAGGACCTGGTCTCTGCCCCCAAGCCCTGCCAGATTTCCAGTCATTCTGCCTCCCCTCCTTCACTGCTCCTGCTGAGTTTGCGGCTGCTGGGGGGTTTACCGGGGACACAGTTGGCCTCATGCTGAGGATGGGGGAACTGGGAGCAGGTGAGGCAGTCAGCATGAGAAGCAGATCGCCTCAGAAGATGGGGAAGAGGAAGAAGAGGAAAGGTGAAAGGAAAAGGGAGTGACAGAAAGAAAGAAGGACCCTGCCTGGCACATGGAGGCACCCAGAGGCCAGGGCGCCCCTCTAACCCTCAAGGAGTTTAAGTACAATTGAGAACACATGATAAACATGTGCACCAAGCCAAGAGCAGTTATGGGCTATGGCTGATGTTGACCAGAGGGTGGTGGGAGTCCAGAGATGGGAAGGTTCCTGTGGGTGGTTTGACTCAGATTCCACAGGTTCGTCCTCAGAGATGGACCCCAATTCTCTCATCTGATTAAGTGAGCAAACAGAGGCTCAAAGAGAGGACTGGCTGCACAGTGGCTATATGGTTGGACCAGGACCTAGAGCCAGATCAGAGAAGGCAACATGGAAGCCTAGTGAGCCAGAAGGTCCTTCAAGGATGTTCTCCCATGTTTTCGGTTAGAGCTGAGCAAAGATGGAGAAGTGGAAATGAGCAAGCCTATATATGGAATGTGAGCCACCAAGTGTCCTGGTGGAACACCACGGAGTGGACAGACAGACAGTGTGGCCTAGTGGTGAAGGGTAGAGACTCAGGAGTTTTCGTTGTGGCTCTCCTACCTCCTAGCTGTGGAAACTTGGGCAAGTTACTTAACCTTTGACACCTGTTTCCTAATATGCAAAATCATGCTGATAATAATAATTCTTACTTTAGAGTGTTGTTGTGAGGATTAGATGGGCTATGGTGTGTCTATTTCTTAGACCAGTGCCTGGCACCTAGCAAGTCCTCAACAAAGAGAATGCAGACCACCAGTGTAGTAGATTAACAATGGAAAGTGGTGTCTGGTCAGATTACAGTGGAGTGAGCAGAACAGTTTGAACTTGACGCTCTAGGCACCTGGAAGCCACATGGGTATGGAAGTAATGACTAGAGAAGCCCCCCTTTATCAGGAGGGGGTATGTTCCAAGACCCCCAGAGGATGCCTGAACCCATCCATGGAGAGCACCAAACTCTACATGTACTGGTTTTTCCTATACATGCACATCTATAATAAAGGTTAATTTATAAATTAGGCACAGTAAGTGATTCACAGTAATAACTAAAAATAAAATAAAACAATTACAACAATACACCATAATAAAAGTAATGTGAATGTCATCTCTCTCTTGCTCTCAAAACACCCTCCAGTAGGGCGCCTGGGTGGCTCAGTTGGTTAAGCGACTGCCTTTGGCTCAGGTCATGATCCTGGAGTCCCTGGATTGAGTCCCGCATCGGGCTCCCTGCTCGGCAGGGAGTCTGCTTCTCCCTCTGACCCTCCCCCATCTCATGTACTCGCTCTCTCTCATTCTCTCTCTCTCAAATAAATAAATAAAATCTTTAAAAAAAAAAAAAATACCCTCCAGTACTCTACTCGCCCTTCTTATGATGATGATAGGAGATAATGAGATGTCTACCTGATGAGATAAATAAGGTGAATGACGTAGGCACGTGACATAGCATTAGGCTACTGTTGACCTTCTCACGATCCATCGGAAGGAGGATCATCTGCTACCGGGCCTCAGTTAACCACAGGTAACTGAAACCGTGGATAAGGGGAGACCGCTGTATACGGAATGCAGAATACTACCAGCATCCACCTGCATGGGGGTTATTTCTTCTGAAACCCATTCATACATGTCATCTTGATAGGTCCTTAATGGTATATCTGAGGCTGGCCAGCCAGGATTCATATGTTACTGTCATTTTAGAGATGAGAAAATGGAGGCACAGAGAGGTTGAAGCCTGGAATTAGGGAGGAGAGCAAGGAGGCTGAGCATGCATCAGGTCTGAGGCTGAAGCGAGGCCTGGGTCTGATGGAAAGGAAGGGACATGGGGACATCTGCAGGAGGAACATTCAGAAGCCTCCTGCTTCTTCTCTGTGCCCTCCCCTGTGGCTTAAAGAGATGGAAAAGAGGGAAAGTCTTGGGGCTTACTTAAACTGGTAAAACAGAGGAAGTAAAATGGTAGCCTTCAGCCTGGGGTAAAAGAAAGTCCCCCTACTCTCTTTGGTGAGAGAACACCAAACTCTCTAATCCTGCAGGTCCAGAGGCAGAGAGAGGGAGGCCGGGCAGGGGAGCCGGTTTGGAAGGCTGGGGTGGGAGCAAGGAGCGAGAAAACGCTGAGCTGGAGGCAACAGATGTCAGGGTGCTCTGAGGAGGGATGAGCCTGGAGCTCAGGGAGAGGGGGTAGGGTGGAGGCCAGGGGAGCAGAGCAGGGGGGCAAGGCCTCACCTTGGAGGGGAGAGAGGTGAGGAAAAAGAGGAGGAAGGCAGGAGGGGGTGCAGGGCGGCCGAACAATACTACACACTCTCCCCTGAGTCCTGGCACCCCCTAACACCCCCTCCGTCGTGGCCTGAGAGCCCAAAGCCTGTCGTCGGGGTGTCTTCTCATAAGAGGAGGGAAGTGGGGGCCCTTAGGTTACATGCCTTCGGACTGAGGAAAAATCACAGTAACCACAGGCAGTGTCCCTGTGGCTATCATGGGTCATTTGAGCCTCAGAGTGACCCTGGGAGCTGGGCAGGGCACGTAGGACAGGAGAGGGCAGGACAGGGCATCTCGCTGCCCTCACCTTACACACCAAGGGGTGGGGGCTCAGAGAGCTGAAGACACTGGCCCAGGCGGACTCAGCTGGTGAGAGGCAGGGCCAGGCCTGAAAGCCAGGCCTCACTGAGCACGGCTCTGGGCCCGGGCCACAGCAGCGAAGGAGGCTGAGCTGGTGCCCGCGGGCCGGGTGGGGAGCCCAGGAGGTGGGAGAGCTTCGGGCAAGACGGGTGCTGGCGTCCTCTGGAACAGGGGAGACCTCCCCTTCAAGCAGGCTTCAGCCAGTGCTTTTCCATTTGCTTTTTGGAAGTCTGCCACCAGGGGAGTTGTGAAATTTCACGTGCCTCTCTGATGCTTTGAAGCCAAACCGACTGCGTGTTTATCAGTCCTTTGAAGTCCGGTGCGGGGTACAGAGCATGCGTCTCGCAATCCGACAGACCTGCCTTCTCATCCCGCTCTAGCATTTACGGCCATGTGACCTTGGGCAGCTTAACCTCTCAGAGACTCAGTTTCCTTGTCTGTAAAATGGAGATGGTACCTAACTCATAGTTCTGCACCTGCAAAGGGCAGATTACGACGCCTTTGTCATAGTGTGGGGAAGATGCAATGGGGGGGGGGGTGCCTGGGTGGCTCAGTCATTAAGCGTCTGCCTTCGGCTCAGGTCATGATCCCAGGGTCCTGGGATCGAGTCCCACATCGGGCTCCCTGCTCCGCGGGAAGCCTGCTTCTCCTTCTCCCACTCCCCCTGCTTGTGTTCCTGCTCTCGCTATCTCTCTCTCTGTCAAATAAATAAATAAAATCTTTTAAAAAAAAAAAAGGTGCAATGGGGGGAAAAATGCGCAGAGCCCCCAGCACGAGCCCCACCACCACCGGGGGCCTTAGTAGGTACCGCCTTCCCTTCCCCTCGTACCTGGTCATGTTCACTTCCTCCAGCTCCCCCTTTTTCCTAAAACTCAAATGACACAGGATCAGACAATAACATGAATGTAATAACTGGGAAGACACTCATGAAATCTTCCCATTTCTCCCCTTCTGGGGAATCTCAAAGCCAGCCAGCCACAGTGAGCCCACACCAGGCAGCATGATCATTCGAGAATCTCTGTTGGAACAACACCCCAGAAAACCACAGGCCAAAGGAACAACGGCCTGACATGTCCTTCTCCCTTGGCAGACTAAGAATCGATAAATATCTGCTGGTTTGGAAATGTCAGAAGGGCCCAGTGTAAGAAGCGTATGTTTGGGGGTGTATGTGTTGTGTGTGTGTGTGTATCCTGCTGGGGATGTTCATCTCTCCTCCTCCCAACCTCCTAGGGTTTACGATGTAGCCTTCTTTTAATGATTAACAGCCAGAGGGCAGAGAATAAGGAGGCAAAGAAATATTTGCTGAGCCCATGCGACCCAAGATGGAAACACTGACGGGGACGGGCTGGGTCTGAGCTCTGAGCCTGGCAGGGCAAGGAGAGAGAAGTGAGGCAGCCGCCTTACCTCTTGCTTCCGGTGTGAGCATCTCGAATGAAATTGGAACTGTGCTTATTAATGGAATAATTAGTCAGGTGCATGCAGATATCATCCTGGGGAAAGAGACACAAGTCTGTGGGGTCAGGAGGTAGGGCAAGCCTCCTGCTTCTTCTCTGTGCCCTCCCCTGTGGCTTAAAGAGATGGAAAAGAGGGAAAGTCTTGGGGCTTACTTAAACTGGTAAAACAGAGGAAGTAAAATGGTAGCCTTCAGCCTGGGGTAGAAGAGAGTCCAGCTACTCCTGAGATTGGGTGGTTCACTGCTTGGGAGACATTTCAGGAATCCTGGGGGGTCATAGAGTGCAGGAAGGGGGTGGGGGAAAGACAGGGGCTCGCCCATGGCCTTCTCTCCTCCAGCACCACAGGTCTGGGGCACTAGCTTCGCAGTAGGGCAGATCTGGCCATGAGTCGCAGCCTCATCTCTTCCCAGTTCTGTGACCTTGGACAAGTTCCTTCAACTCTGAGTTTTCATTTCCTCATTTGTAGAATGGAGATGATAATCTCTATTGCTGAGGGCTCCTAAGAGGGCTAAAGGAAAGGATGTCTGGACGTCTGCAACCTGGCACATAGTAAGTTTCAACCAATGACAGCCATGTCCACAGTGCCTTGAGAATGTGGACTGAACTGGGATTTTTCATCCCCGTAAGGAGGAAGGGGCAGGGCACATCCCCTGAGCTCACCAGGTTGTCTGTGCTGGGGTGGGAGTAAGAGGTGGTGGCGAAGCGTGCTAGTCCTTCGTTGTATGCAAAAATCCTCAGAGGGTCACAGGAGGTCATCAGCACATAAATCCGTAAGTCGAACTTGAACCCATCAATGATAAAGGGCTGAGAGGAGGGAAGAAAAGTCACATAAGCCTCAGAGGAGAGATTCAGACTTGAAGATTAGTGCCTGATCTTGGTTTTGCCTGGTACTACAGAGTGCGGGCTTGGCTGGGGCCAGGGAGGAGGACAAGGCGACTTGACCTGTGGGAGTCACTAAACCCCACTGTGCCTCAGTTTCCTATAGCACAAGAAACTGCCTCCCAGAGATCTCCTGACAACCAAGCAAAGTAACATGAAAAAGTCCTGTGATGGGGCGCCTGGGTGGTTCAGTCGGTTAAGCGGCTGCCTTCCGCTCAGGTCATGATCCCAGGGTCCTGGGATCGAGCCCCACTTCAGGCTCCCTGCTGAGGGAGCTTCTCCCTCTCCCTCTGTTGCTCCCTCTGCTTGTGTGCTCTCTCTTTCTCTCAAATAAATAAATAAAATCTTCCCAAAAAATCTTTAAAAAACATTAAAAGTCCCGTGATGAAGGACATGTTGTCACCATCTAGGGCTGTGTTACATGGCCGTTCTGCAAGAGTGCTTCCTGCAATCCTGGCCAGTCCTTTCTAGTCCACACACACTTCCAGAGGGCTCCCTCCCTGCGGTGGGCTATATGCCACTGTGACCTTTGACCTCCAGCTATGGAGCAAAGCCGGTCACCATGATCCCTCCAGGACTACTGCCCTCTCCCAAATGAAGTGGGACAACCACAGACTAAAGGTGCCCTCCAGCTGTCATCTCTAGAGGTGACGGGCCAGCCTAGTAAGGCCAGACCAGCTACCAGGGTACAAGGGTGAGGGATGCTCTGGCCCAGACACATGTCCCATCCCTGGTCAGAAGGCCTGGTTTGACAACTTTCAAGGCAGAAGACAGGACTCGGCTTTGCCCGTCGCCTGCCTCATTTCCCATAGTGCAGCGGAGCTAGAGCCTGAGGTTGTTGTGGGTGAGAAAGAAATGATCACAATGAAGTACCTTTGAAATATAGAGTTGACAGATCATATCCTCTCCTGGCTTGATATCTTTCACCGTCCGGGTGATGAATATACCTCTCCCTTGGCAGCCCGAATCCGGCTTACAAATATAAGTCTTATTTTTTCTTGACCTGCTGTAGTTCTGCAAATCCCCCCAGCTACCAGAGCAGCAGGGAGGGAACGAGATACACCGTTAGCAGGGGGAGCAGTGAAAAGGAAGGCTAGCTCTTTATTTAAAAAAAAAAAAAAAAAAAAAGGCAACAACAACAAAAACACTAAAGCTATCTAATGTGACAAAGCTCCAGAGTCAACAGACACATGTCAGGAGATCTGGAAACAAGAGAGACAGCCATGCACATGCACACATGGTGGAGAGAGTGTGGGCTTCGGAGGGAACTCGGGCCTGGATTTAAACCCAGGTGACACCACTCACCCAACTGTGTAACCCTGTGCAAGGACTTGACCTCTTTAAGCCTCAATTCCATCATCTACACAATGAGGATAAGGACACCTGTCTTCTGTGGTGGTTAATTACGTGACAGAAGGCAGGCAAGGTGCTGATACGTGCTGCATGCCCCGTGAAGGTAGCTGCGATCCAAGTATTTTGGCTTCCTGGGTTTGCAGATAGGAGATGTGGAGTTCTGCACGTGGCTCTAGCCCTGACCGGCGGTGTGACCTTGGATCAATCAGTCTCTTCCCCTACTGTAGGCTTCAGCTCTTCCCCGGGAACACCTCCACTCCAGCCAGAGTATCAGAGCGCAACTACTATCCTTGAACACATTCTGAAGAAAGTATCTTCAGAAGAAGGAAACCGATTTAAGGCATTCTAAATCTCAGTCTTGCTACACTTCTTGTTTTGCATTGGAACTCATTGGTATGGTGACCCCTGGCGACGTCCCTTCACTGCAATGTTCTTCAGTGGCCACTGAAATCTGGAGGTGCCCACTGGCCTGAAGGCAAACATGTTTCCTTCTAAGTTGCTTATGAGTCCTGAAAGTTGTTCTGGACAAGCTAGGGAAGTCTGGGAATCCTGGGGCTCTTGGTTTGGAAAAGCACTGGGCACAGAGGACAGAGTGGGATTCTCACCATGTGAATAGAATTCCAATGGCAATGCTTCTCTGCCCCCCTCCTCCTCATCCCAAAGACCAGACTGTACCCAGGTCACATTCATGTTATCTCACACTCCCTCTGTTTCTTGCTGGTGTGGTCCAGAGCATTTTGTGTACTAAGCATGGATGCCCAGTTTCAAGATGGATAGAGTGAGGCAGAAGACTGAGAAAGGCTGGCTGCCATCCATGGTCCTGCCATGGAACAGAGGCCAGGTGTCCCTCCTGGCTCCTAATCTGGGCACTAACCATTATCTCACTCCCTCCAGAAGTGCTCAGGGTCCTTAAAATTTCAGAAACTGCACAGTTAAAAGGTTGGAACAAGTTGAGAATCAACAGTGTTCAGGGTCAGAACAAATTCTCATCCCAACTGCAGGCGCAGGCTCCAAGGCACCCAGCCCCTAAATGTCATCTAATTTTTTATAGCAGAGCCTTGTGTTCTCTCAACCTTGGACACACCCTTAATCCCTTCTCTTCCAAGAAAGGAAGAGAGAGATGGGAGATCCTTTGGTGAGGGAAAGTAGCACCGGGAATCCCGAGCAAGAGGGAAATGGAAATCGGGGGTGGGTAGTGCAAAAGGAACACAGGTGGTCACTCACTCAGCAGGAAGACACCAGGTCCTAGGGAAGAAGTGGAAATCCTTAGGGAACATCTTTAACATGCGGCTCATATTCCTGGCCAGCAAGTCCTTGCGGCAGATTTCACTCATTCCAGGGAAGTGATTGATTTTCTGCAAAGGGAGCCAGAATTCATGAACAACGGGGGCCATGGGAGTACCCATGAGATCCCCTCGGGGGACAGTCCTAAAAGGGGGGGGCCCACTGGGTAGATGCCACACTTCTATTGAGACCCAGCTCTGCCCCGGACAATACCTGGTAACTTTTCATCTCCATCACCCTCTCCAGCGACACTGAGTAGTCCGTCCAGTAGAGAGTCCAGTCATTGGCCTCCCCTCCCTCTTGAAGGCCATACCGCTGGGCGGCCCTACGCACTGCCATGGAGGTGGAAAAAGAAAGGCCTGTTAGCCCAGGGAGTGGGGGAGGAGCACGGGGTGGGGAGGTTATGCTTTTAGGTGCTCACAGACCCTGCACTGAAGAGAGACACCGCAGCTCGTTGGGACTGGAAGCCATCTTGCCTGGTCTGAACACACCATTGCCAAGAAAGGAACATGAATAGCTACTGAGGCGCATAGCCAATACCCGGTGAACCCCACAGAAGGTTATCTGGGAAGAATGTTTTACCCGCCCTGGTTTCCCCTTGCCAGGAAGTAGGCTTCTGGCTTTCCTCCAAACACTAAGCACAGAACGTTCAGGGAATATAAACTAATCCTTAACATCAGCCAGAGCCAAGCTTAATTAGGAAGGTAAATTGACAAAAAAAAAAGTATACAATGCATTTCAAAACCACATATATGCTATCACATCCTTCTTTCCCTGTCCCTGTTAGCATTAGTAACTGGGAGCTGACTCCAGCACAGATTCAAACGCCTTCGAGGGCCTGGAAAGGAAGAAGTGCCTATGGTGACCCAGGGGAGTCAGGACCAGTGTAAAACATTCAAATTTGAAATCCATACAATGGGGGCGCCTGGGTGGCTCAGTTGGTTAAGCAACTGCCTTCGGCTCAGGTCATGATCCTGGAGTCCCGGGATCGAGTCCCCGCATCGGACTCCCTGCTCAACGGGGAGTCTGCTTCTCCCTCTGATCCTCCCCCTCTCATGCTCTCTGTCTCCCATTCTCTCTCTCAGATAAATAAATAAAAAATCTTTAAAAAAAAAAAAAAGAAAGAAATCCATGCAATGATAAGGCTGCTCTGTAGTTCGAGATAGGTCTGTAGGTCATCTTCAGCCTGTGGACTGCCAGTCTCTAACTCGTGCTCTAACAAGGAGAAACAGCTGCCTTCTCTACAAATCAGATTCCCAAATAACCCTACAGAGGAACTATAGAGAGCTGAAATATACACCACTGTGGTCAAAACCCACATTTCCTTGGAATGAGATTCCCAACTTCCTCAAATAGTTCATTGAGGAAGGAAACAACGGGATGTGGAGACACCACCCCCTTTCCATCCTCAAGAATATACAAGAGTAACCCTTCCCAACCCTTTGGGGGTAATCCACTGGGTCCCCATCGTGGATCCCTTGAATGCAGGTGCTCACCGCTCTCATATCGGCAGGTGGAGAGATTGATCACCAATCATCTGGAAAGAGAAAAAGGAAAGCAAGACAGACACACTTGCCAGAACAGATGACCACACCCAGAAGCATCTGGTCCCGGGCGGGGCTGCATGAAACCCATCCTGCCACACTAAGCCTGGTCTGACTACCCCCCATAACTAAAGACACGAATCCCAAGGGTCGCAGAGTGGCGGAAGACAGAGACTCCACCAGTGCCCCACGCGGAGGCAGAAATTCTGTACTGCGGTTGTAACTACTTCTGCTTCAGCTTCATATGAACATCATCACCTCCTCGATCCTTTCACTCCAGTGGCCCATCAGGAACGGGAGGTGAAAAATGTTTGGGCCAAGTTACTTCATGGTCTCCCTCCTCTTGCCCCCCACTAAGGGAAGTGGTGAGTTAGAAAGTGGACAAGCTTTCCAGCATCAGTGAGTCTGAGGAGTGATTCGTTGTCCCCGAAAGGAGCAAGGTGTGACGGAATAGTAAGTAGAAACCATAACACAAAAGCCACAGGCAGATCCTAAGAAGTCAGCGTCAGTTTCATTATTTTTAAAATGTACTAAGTTCCCAGGACAATAAGCACTTCCTTAAAATGAGGAAATTGTCTCTTCCCATACAATTAAAAAAAAAAAAAGCACTCTAAACACAAATAGAATGAAGATTAGGACAAGGTGTAGTTTGAGATTACACACACCATTATTTGATTCTATAAAACAGATCATCAGGGACACCTGGGTGGCTCAGTCAGTTAAGCTTCTGCCTTTGGCTCAGGTCATGATCCCGGGGTCCTGGGATCGAGTCCCGCATTGGGCTCCTTGATCAGCAGGTAGCCTTCTTCTCCCTCTCCTTCTGCCTGCCACTCCCCCTGTTTGTGCTCTCTCTCTCTCTGACAAATAAATAAATAAAATCTTAAATCAATCAATCAATCAATCAATCAAACAGATCATCAGGTGGATTCTTCTCATATGAACTGAAGGGGTGTGATTTTGAAGGTCCCAGCACACAACATCTCTTTAACTTCTCGTTAGTGACCAAGGTCCCCTCCCCTCCAGGTCCCTTCTGCTCCCAACAACATGGATCCCCATTCCCCGTCTTTCAGTCCTAACCTCTTCTTCTTCTTCTTCTTCTTGCCTTGCTGCTGGGCATTCTGAAGCCCCTCTTGCGCCCCAGTGTTCTCGCTCACGAAAGCCAGGGTGATGATTTCTTTCGGATCTTCTTGGGAACTGTCCTCCCGCTCTTCCAAGTCTGCCCCTTCCTCGCCATCCAAAGGCAGCCACTGGAGCATCTCCCCAGCCTGGGAGGAGGCTCTGGGGAAATCCCTGCGCACCCTGGGGAGAGAGCAGAGGGAGCAGCAGTTACTTGGATCTGCCTGCAGGGGGACCCCCTCCCTTGCTCATGTGGGTGGTAGGCCCACTCTGAGACCAGGCGCTGATTGCCGGTTAGAAAATGTCACCCCACCTCCACGGTTGGTACAAGCTGAGGGAGAGAGCTGATTCCACCTTGCCCTTGGGGACTCTAACCCTGGGGACTCACTCAGCCAACCCTGGCTTTGGTTTTTGCCCTCCTGGGATTTTCAGGAGCAGGCTGAGAGGTTTTGCATGGCACCACCTGGTAAACAATCTTATTAGAGTGAGTGAGTGTCTGGAGACGGCCTCAGAACCGAGCCCTGAGCCTTGCCAACTGAGGGAGTTAGTCCCAGTGGGTGCAGCTGAGGTGCTCTGAGGAGGTCTGTTAACTGTTTCGACACTACACGGAACCTCCCATGCCCAACCTGCTGCTGACGCTGAATGCAAAGTTAGCTTTGGAGCATGGGGTCAATGCGTAGCTGACTGAACACAATGCAAGCCCAGGGCCGGACGGAGACCTTCAGAGATCCCACCCAAAGAAAAGGCACAGCGTCTCCCTGACTTAATTCAACACAAAAACAAGACCAAATGGTAAAAATACCAATAAGGAAGTCTAGCAAAGTCCTTGTCCCGCCCACCATTCCCATGATGACTTCTTTGTTGTTTGCTTGAAATTTCAAATATCAAATTCTTTAATGGTTTTTAATGCCCCTGTTTCAATAATCCTTAGGAATGTGCTTAGTGTGCCTTCGGGTAACCCAGAAGAGCCCAGATCCAATCAACGGATCCATCTCCTTCACATCCAAGGCTTCTATGACCACAAAGCCAATTTTCTGGGGCTCCTCCTCCTCTTTGCCCCCCAAACCCTGCCAACCTCCTCACCACGGCAACCCCTGTCCTTTGATGCCTTTGCTACTTTTTTTTTTTTTTTAAGATTTTATTTATTTATTCATAAGAGACAGAGAGAGAGAGAGGCAGAGGGAGAAGCAGGCTCCCTGCCAAGCAGGGAGCCCGATGCGGGAATCGATCCCAGGACCCTGGGATCATGACCTGAGCCGAAGGCAGACGCTCAACCGACTGAGCCACCCAGGCGCCCGATGCCTTTGCTACTTACTACCTGTTCTTCCCTCATCAATTCTTTGGCTTTTAAAAAAAGATAGTAATATCTTTATGATAATTTATTATAATGAAATAATAAAACATTAAAGGGAGTTTAGAAAAGGATAGGGTGAGAAATCACATGTGGCTTTCCTACCCTGGAAGAGCAACTTTGCCCCCTTTGCATATTCTCTTTGATTCTTAATTTCTAAGCATAATTATTCTTCTATAATTGTAACCATACTATAGAAACCATTTTCTATCTGCTTCCCCCTCCCACACACACTTATTATCATATCAGAAACTTCCTTTTGGTGGTGACAAAGTTTACTTGTTTCCAGTGTTTAATGGCTGTGTAATAAAACCCCACTGAAGGAATGTGCCTGAATTTAACTGACCATTGCCCTATTGCTGGCTATGTAAGTTGCTTCCAATTTTGCTGTTATATTAATAGCTCTGAAATGCGCACTTTCATGTATAGAAGGCCTTTTACTTCTTGAGGATTATTTTTCTTAAGATATATATCCAGAACCAGGATTACTAGGTTAATATAAAAATTATATAGCTTCTGGTTTTATTTATCTATCTATCTATCTATCTATCTATCTATCTATCTATCTATCTATCTATTTCCCAGAGGGACTCCAACAATTTGGATTACCACCAGCTATACATGATAACAGCAGGCCCAACAGACTCACACAATCTCATGGGAATCACATTTCCTTCGTACCCACACTTGCTAATTCTGACAACGTTTTGTACCTATGGGCCATGTTTTTACCATTACTGCACCCTTCCACGTCTCTCTGCCCCTTTCCCAAACCAAAATTGGGGAGTGGAGGGCTCTAACTTGGAGGCTACCTAGGAATAACTTAATAATAAGCCCTTATATGAATGTACTTCTTTATGTTTTTCAAAGAGTTATCCCATACACCATCGCACTGAATGCTCACAACCATCGCCAAGAGGAAGGGCAGCATTATTAGGTCAGCCAAGGATCACCGCGGGTTTCTCTCTTGCTTGAGAGGGCTGCCACTCATAGCCAAGCCCCTTTATGGCGACACCTGAGCAGGGGGAGAAAGCGTTGTACGTGGCACAACGAACCAATGACACCTGGGCCTTGTGAGTCCCTTTTCCCAGTGAACAGGCACATTCTTGTTCAAGAGGACTAAGGTGCATGAAATCTTGACCTTGAGCTGCTCCCTTGTTCCAGGTAAACAGCCACTTCCACTCGCCTAGCCCTCCACAACCGGCTTCTGTTTACCAGACCCT